TAATACCAAAGATATTATTTGGTTATTTTAGAATCCATCAATCACAAATGTGATTGGTTTTCCTAATGTTTTAACGAACAAAACTGAAAGTTTCAAAAAAAAAAAAAAAAAACACTGCCTTTTTATGGCAAAAACAAAAAAAAAACACTCTGCCTTATTAAGCGCTCAGAGCACAGGCGTCGTCCCCTTATCTTCGTCTACAGGCCTGAAAGGAAACTTTTGCCGTCGATATATATTTTATCCCATTATTGAAAACAACCCAATTCATGATATATAAAATAAAACTAATCATGTATCACTTTTTCATGTTCAGATCCTGTAATTTTCCCTGTTCTGATTTTCCATCAGCATGACATTGTCTAAGACCATAAGTATAGGCTAAGCAAAAGTCGAATTGAATACATTTTTATCGTAAATACTAATAATAAGTAGAGGCTACACAAAGAAAATTAGCTGAATTGATGTACCCTAATCGTAAAATCTTATTTGAAGTTAAATCTAGGGATGGACAAATAGCTAAGAGAAAAGGAATTTTCAATCTGGTTTGGTAAGAAAAATGCCAATCTAAGGTGAAAATTCCACTTTTGACATTAATAACTAGAGTTTTTCAAAATTGCATGCGATGACTTTAATTAATGGTAAAACCGTAAAAGCAAAAATTTTCAATCTAAACTGACAATTCTTTTTATTTATCTAGACTGAAAATTCCTTTTCTCAATTTTAATTTTTCTTTCGTCACCCATTTTGTCAAGTGTAAAAATTCAACATATGGATTCAAACACAAAGTAGAGTTCCATTCTTAAATCAGTTAATAATAAGTGGAATAGCTTACTCATTATATTTTCGTCACACATGTTACTTATCATGTTGTAATACGTGATTTTTCCTATAGGCAGATATGGAGGGCTACATATAGAGCGGTAAAACTCTTTAATTCCTTTACCTTCGGGCCATGGCCTAAACTATTCATGGCCCAAGTGACCAAAATCTCTGGTTTGGGCAATTTTTAGAATGACCGCAAAAGTTTAGGAGAGAAAAAGAAGTGCACGTATGGGTCGTGTGCCTGAACTGAGAAGGAGAAAAGCAAACAAACACCTTAGCAATCAGGAGGATTGGTGAGGCCGCACTTTGGGGGAGTCGCCATGGGATGGTTAGGATCGATCCCAAGAGAAGGAAGCATAAAGGAATGCCTGTAAGAGCATAAGCACTTCAAAGTCGGCTCCTTTAAGAGCATCGCAACACGCCGGTGATGGGTCAACCGGATCCACCTTCTTCACCGACGGCTTACTTGCATCCAGACCTTCCTGGTTCATGTTGCACAAACTTACTGCTCTAGAGCTCTTCAACATTCCGGTCATAAGAACCATGACGATGATCAAAACCGCCAAATTCTTAGTCATAATATTAAGATGTGAACACAATAATTTAGATTATATTTGTATTTATTGTAAATATTTTATACATTAAAATATTTTGTTTATATATTTTATACTTTATAATATTCTTTTTGTAAACATCTATATAGAAGTCATTATACATTCACTATTATTCAAAAAAATAATAAACCTTTATTCAAATACTTCTCCTTCTTTTCAATTTCTAACATGGTATCAAAGCAATAAGCTCCTAGTTCTTTTTTTATCACTGCTTGGTTACTAAGTTGGATTCTCAGATCTATTTTAAATCTGAAACTTTGTCGTTGGGTTATGTTCTCTTGTAGTTTGGATTGTTTATTCTCAACTTTCACACATTTTCTAAGGTATTTTGTTGAGTTATAATTTCGATCTTGGCCTATATTTCTTCAAATTTTTAGAGATTTTTTTTAGTATTGTAAGTTCTACTGATTCTATAGCGAGTTTTGAAAGAACTGTGACTCATTTTACTGCTGCAATGGTTGCTAAAGAGGCGATAAACCAACCTATTGTCAACCCTAAATCTCTAAAACATGTGATATTAAATCATCTTAATGCCTCTACTGCCTTGTCTGCTACTTCAAGGACTGAACCTTGGAATTTTGATTCTGGTTGTTGTAATCACATGTCTTCAACTACTGCTTATTTCTCTTCAATGTCACCAAATAATTCCTTTCATGACATTTATTCTGCTGATGGCTCCCCTATGAATGTTAGTCATATCGACAATATTTCTACAAATTTATTGACTTTACCAAACGCTTTCTTGGTTTCAAAACTTAGTTATAATCTTTTATCTATTGATCAATCATGTGATCTTATTCTTGAAATAACTTTCTCTACTCATGATTGTCGTGTGCAAGACCCATAGACAGGACAACTACTTAGAACTAGTCGTAAAGTGGGGCGCTTGTTTGAGCTCAATTATTTGCATATACCTCATCATAAAATGGATACACCATCATTTCCAAATGACCAATTCATTCAAACCCTACTTTGTATTGTTGAATTAGAGTCTTTGCAAATTCCATATCAACAAATCTTCCAAGCTTGTGTTGCTACTAATATTTCACCTCTTCATTTATGGCACTCATGGCTCGAACACACCTCAGTCAATAAACTCCATCCTCTTATCTCTTGTGGTTTATTAGGATCTGTTTCGAATGAATCATTGCATTGTGTGTCATGTCAATCTGTAAAACAATCAGTTCTATCATTTACTAGTAGTCATTCTCTTTCTACTGCTTCATTTGATCTTGTGCGTTTCGATGTTTGGGGTTCTTCTTCAACACCTACCATAGGGGGATCTAGGTACTTTATGTTATTTATTGGTGATCATACTCGTTTTACCTAGATATATCTTATGAAAAATTGCTCTAAGTTACTACAAATTTATATTGATTTTGCTACCATGGTCAAAATCCAATTCTCTAAAATTATCAAAGTTTTGAGAACTAACAATGCCATTGAATATTTTAGTACTAAACTTCAATCATTTTTGAAAGAACAAGGTACACTAATACAACAATCTTATCCTTACACTTCTAAATAAAATGGACGAGCCGAACGTAAATACAAACACATCCTTGATTTTGTTCATGCTTTGCTCATTTCTTCTTCTTGTCCAAAGCGATTTTGGGATAAAGCTACTCGTATAGCTATTTATCTCGTTAATCAGATTCCATCATAGGTCATCTATAATAAGTCTCCATACGAATGTTTGCATGGTATTCCTCCTGCTTATGATTGTCTTAAGGTTTTTGGTTATACCTGTTTTGTTCTTCTTCCACCTCATGAACATAATAAGCTAGAGCCTAAAGCTCGATTATGTTGTTTTTTGGGTTATGGGATTACACATAAAGGATATAGTTGTTGGGATCCTGTGTCACAAAAACTTCAAGTCTCGCGTCATGTTGTCTTTTGGGAACACACTATGTTTCCCTCATTATCAAACTTCCAGGTGTCATTTTGATCAACCTCCACTTTTTACTAACCCTTCTGTTAAGCTTTTTCCTTATGACTTTGATGTAGATACATTTGATGAGCTCTATAATGCCTCTCCACATGCTCCACCTGGTTCTATAGAAGATGTTCTGCCTATTGGTAATGCATTAAACAATGTTGAGTCTTCTTCCCTTACCTCTTCTATATCACCTGTTAGATCTAACCCTGTTGATATTGAGCCTAAAAATGAGATTCTTAATCCACCTTCAAGTCATCCTATTCGGGTAAGAAATCCTCCTAGCTATCTTCGTGATTATCATTGTTTTCCTACTATTAGCTCTTTACATGAGCCTCAATCCTACCAAGAGGCCTTTTCTAACCCTTTTTGGCAACAAGCTATGCAAGATAAATTACAAGCTGTTGACAAAACTTATACATGGTATTTAGTTGATCTCCCTATTGGAAAGCCTTTAATAAGTTGTAAATGGGTGTACAAGATCAAAACTTGGTCTGATGGTTTCGTGAAGCGTTACAAGGCCTGTTTGGTTGCTAAAGGATTCACTTAAGAATATGGGATTGACTACGAGGAAACCTTTGCACCTGTTGCTCATCCTACTTCAATTCGTAGTTTGATTGCTATTGCTGCTGCCAAAAGATGGAAATTGTTTCAAATGGATGTGAAAAATGCCTTTCTAAATGATGATCTTGTAGAAGAAGTTTACATGAAACCACCTTCTAGACTTGAGCATCCTCCAAACAAAGTTTGCTTATTGAAGTGAGCTCTGTATGGTTTGAAACAAGCACCTTGAGCTTGGTTTGCCAAGTTTAGTACCACCATCAATGAATTTGGTTTTACTTCTAGTCCTCATGATATTTCGCTGTTCATACGCAAGACTAATCATGGTATGGTTCTACTACTTCTTTATGTTGATGATATGATCATTAATAGGGATGATATTTCAGGTATTCATGATCTTAAGCAATTTCTCAGTCATAAGTTTGAGATGAAAGATCTTGGTGTTTTGAACTATTTCTTGGGACTTGAGGTCACCTCTTCTTATAATGGTTATTTTCTCTCCTAAACAAAATATGCTTCTGATCTTATATCTAAAACTAGACTCACTAACAGTAAGACAACATTTACTCCTCTTAAGCCAAATGTTCGGCTTACATCCATAGATGGTTATCCATTAACTGATCTTACTCGCTACAGACAATTGGTTGGAAGTCTAATTTATCTCACTACAACACAACCAAACATAGCTTTTGCAGTTCATGTTGTTAGCCAGTTTATGGCTACGCCTCGCTCCACTCGCTATGCAGTAATACTTCACATTATTGGGTATATTAAAGGTACCATGTTTCATGGCCTTCACTTTGCTGCTCATTCATCCCTTGAACTTCGTGCTTACTTTAATGCTGATTGGGCTAGAGACTCTAATGATCATAAATCCACCAATGGATATTGCCTTTTTCTTGGTGATTCCTTAATCTCCTAGCATAGTAAGAAGCAGACAGTTCCATCACATGCTAGCACAAAGGCTAAATATCGAGCACTTGGAGACACCACATCAAAGTTACTTAATTTACGTTGGCTACTAGAAGATATGAGTGTTTCTCAACCACCTGCTACTAATCTTTATTGTGATAATTAGAGTGCCATATAGATTGCTTATAATGATATCTTCTATGAGCGCACTAAACACACTGAGATTGACTATCACTTTGTTCACCATCATGTTACAGAAGGAACTATTCATTTGGTTTTTATTGGCTCCGTTGATCAACTAGCAGACCTTTTCACCAAGGCTCATTTTTCTGGACACTTTCGTACTCTTCTTTCCAAACTTAAGTTGGTTTCATCACAACTATCTTGAGTTTGAGGGGGGGATGTTAAGATGTGAACACAATAATTTAGATTATATTTGCACTTATTATAAATATTTTATACCTTAGAATACTCTCTTTATATACTTTATACCTTAAAATATTCTTTTTGTAAACAACGATATATAAGTCATTGTACATACAGTATTATTCAAGAAAGCAATAAACATTTCTTCAAATACTTCTCCTTTTTTTCAATTTCTAACACATAGCTTGATTGCCAGCTATTAGGATCATCGTATGGTGGGTTGAGGGTTAGTGAATTTGGAATTTGGTTGATCGTTAATGTTACATATGAATGAAGGGCAAGAGGAGGGATGCATGGATGAATGGTGAAGCACAAGTTATGGAGGACCCGTGAAGTAGAATTGGTCATGGCTACTTCTGTTCTCTTACACGGGATTCAGGGGTCTCTAGTTAATAGGCGAATATATCTCTCTTTCTATTTGCTCCATTTTTCTCTCTTTCGGGGACATTGAAGCAAGAAGGAAATTATTTAGAAATAAAGAATAAATCAGGTCTAGATTAAATTTTATATACCTGCACACTAGAATGGTTGTTATGAAAAAAGTAAAAATTTAGGGATAATTTTACCTTAGAAAAGTGAAAATAACGCTACCGACCGTGACAATAATCAATTCTTAAGAAGATAGCAAGAGACATGAGGGAGTTATGTAAACTGA